AAAGTCAACGAACATTTGTAGAGTGCAAAATACTATATCACCTACCAATATGGCATCCCTTATGAAGAAAATAGGGGTGTTATTTCCAACAAGATCCCAGTTACCATCTTCTGTGTAAAATTTTACTGCAAACCCACGAGGGTCACGAACGGTGTCAGCTGAGCCCGATTCTCCAGCTAAAATATTCAAATAGGAAAATGAAGGATAAGCCATAGTACTTTGCATCCAAGAAAGCTAAAGTCATAAAGAAACATTAAGATCTATCTTCTCCAATCCATTCCCTGGAAGTAAATTAGGTATATAAGTACCTGCATTATTACTTTTACCACCCACTAGCTAATTAGGTCTACAAATCAAACAAAAGAATTAATTGAGAGTATATGTAACAACAACTGAGAAGATTATCCATTTCACATAATAAGTAACTTTGTTCAAATAGGCCATTAGAATTNAACTGAGAAGATTATCCATTTCACATAATAAGTAACTTTGTTCAAATAGGCCATTAGAATTTAAATTAAAATGGGGGGAGGGAATAATTATGAAGATTAAGGTAGCGAACAAAGAGACTGAGTTGTCAAAATCACAAGGTTAATATTTTAAAAATGAGTTAAAGTAGAGGTTATTATTCTTAATCTAATTTGTTTTTGCATTCCAAAATATTTTTAAAATGCACAGACTGATAGGGAAACAGAATTAATCATGCATTATGTTGTGCTGAGATGTAATATGACAGATCTAATACTAGCTCTGTAACATGAGAAAAATCACTTAACTTCTCTGAAATGGAAATAATCTACCTTGCAAAATATATCAACAGAGTACAGATGATGTCTGTAAAAATACTTAACCATGGTTGGCACAGAGTTAATTCTCAGCAAAGGGCAACTGTTACTGTGGTAACAGAAAAAGATCCCCACTCTGTGCTTCCACTGGAAGAAAGTTCTTTCCAAATGTCACAGAATTGCAGAGGTAGCCTCTGCATAAGTGTGATTTCTTAAGACCTCAACAAACTGAAATATAAGTAACTTCCTACTTGTCCCCAAATATTTTTTCTACTGTAAAACCCAGCTACAATTTGGAGAAGTGCTTGTGTCCTATTTTCTGACATGTTTTTCTCAAAATTAAGTTATAAATGCCCCAAATAAGGTATAGACTGAGTGAAGCAATACCAGCCATGCCTATAGACTGACTTACCAACAGTGGAGAATCGAACTGCAATGGGAGTCCTCTTTCCAATATTCTCAAACACCTTCGCCTTGCAGTATTTGGTAATGTCATGTGTGACCTCAAAGTACCCAAAGGCTCCTGTTGAGAAAGACAGAGAAGTTCTCATCATAAGACTATCAGTCAGACCATCAGGCTCTCAACAGGCATCTCTGTGCAGTTTAGCAACAGCCCTCTGGGAGTTTCCAACGTGGGGAAGAGAAAATGCCCAAACCCAAAAGAATGAGGGTAACAAGCAAAGCCCTACTTTCTTCACTGCTAAACTGAGTGCTGCACAGCTGGAGCCAAGAGGAGGAGCTGAGTGGGGCTGAAAGTAGTCAGTCAAAGTGAACCCAAGGACACAGGGCCTCAGAGGGCCTTGAAGTACAGGTAGGGCCAGAAGAGAAAGAAATAAAAGGGAGGAGAGGAGAAGAAAATACAGAGGAAGAACAGCTTCAGCACTTAGCAAAAACGCCACAAGGCCTAACAAACTGAACAGCACACCAGGCCATGACGGCAAAGGCACACGAAAAAACAGCTGCAGGAGATGGAAAAGATCTTACTTAGGAAGACGCGATGAAGAAATGAGAAAGTCCTAACTAGAAGTCCAAATCAGCAAGCTAAAAGAAAACTTTCTCTTCCTTTCTACTTTCTATGTAGCTCCTTTTCTTTTCTTTTTTCTTTTTAAAGAAGACCGGTAAGGGGATCTTAACCCTTGACTCAGTGTTGTCAGCACCACGCTCTCCCAAGTGAGCTAACCAGCCATCCCTATATAGGGATCCAAACCCATGGCCTTGGTGTTATCAGCACTGCACTCTCCCAAGTGAGCCACGGGCTGGCCCTGGAGCTCCTTTTCTTACTGAGTTTTTATCTCCCTTTTTAACACCACCCCTATCTTTTGTTGCTGTTATAAAGGCAGTAGAAAAGTTTTACAGAAGTTTTGGACAAAAGGAAAGGAAAAATCACCACAAACCCA